CCGCGTTATTCCGCATTTTTTCCTCATTTTAAATATGGAAAAAATGTGGAAAAAATACAGAGAGAATTAACAATACGGAAAAGCAGAAAATATACGGAAATAATACGGAGAATTGGACTTAGTCTATTTTTCATCTGGAAAAATATTTAACTCTTAACTTAGAATATTTTTCATCTGGAAAAAATACGGAGCTCTGAACTTCAGCAGTTCTCTTTTTCTCCTAAATGTTATGTACAATTTGATCGGGATCGAAAGAACGTTTCAAAAAGTCGGGCTCAGTGATCAATTAATTTAAACAACAGCTAGCTAGACCGCCAAAATTTGACCTTGGCTTCCATGTTGTAACGTCTGCACTGTTTTAAGAGGAGGTTTGTTGACCAGGAAGCCTGAGATCGTATTGCTGTATCAACCAATAGATGCAGATACACGTATTTCATATACAGTAGGTCAGTCATATTTTTTTTAATGTGTGTCAGTGATGATGAAAATAAAATTGCTCTAGGCCTAGGACTGAGCTACCAGGCTACGGTCGTTTCAGCCAATATGCCCATGATTCAAATTATTCAATCAGCTCAAAGAACTTAATTATGATTAACCACAATTAAAGGTGTTAAATTAATTTTGGGGAGCCATGGGCTGTAATCTTTAGCAATGATTAATACCATACATTTTATTTTGGTAGCGTCTGTGCAAAAGGAGATTTTCTGAAAAAGAATAAGTGGTTATTCAACTAACTGCGATTTTAACAGGCTTAAAGCTGGTTCATGGATGGTTATGTGTGAGGTATATATATTCTTTTTTTTTTTTCTTTTTTATTGCTTGTTTAATTAAAAACAGTTAACTTTGATTGTCAATATTATAAATATTACTTTAAACAAATTGATATAAATTTGAAGAACCCAAACTTGTGTTTATAAAAAGATTATAAAAGGAATAGAAGCAATTAATTTAAATTTTATTAATATTGCACCATAATTTAAGTATTTTTTTAACTTATAGGATTTGCCAATTCGACCGCAAGTGCTGCTGCAAGAAATTAAACATGCAGTGACCTTACAAATTACAAAGAAGTCTGAAGAAAATTTTTATTGAACAGATGGGTGTAAAGCACAGACCTGAGATATAAATTGAATAATGTGAGAAATATGAATCAGGAATGCAGGTAGAAAATGGCAAATGTGATCCAGATTGATAAAAAATGTCTATAAAATTCCTTTTTTTTGGGTAAATATTCAATGCTAGCTATGTCAATTGTTATTTTTCCCCCAATATCTAAAAGTGTTGAACTTTTCACTACCACTTTTGCTTTTATAGAATGAATAGATTTCCATTTAATTTATATATATAAAAAAATGCCACATTCTTATTTTTTTCATGATGAATTTGTGGCTTAATAAGAGTTCAAACTTTTTTCATACATGCTCCTCTGTTTGTTTGTCAAAGATATAAGATCCAATACATTGCTCATATCCATAATGTGTAAATTTTTCATTCATTTAAATGTTTTTCTCATAATGGTATAATAAATTGTATATAATTTTGCACATTATTGATGGTTTTGTAAATATGTATGTATTGTATGCATCATGTAGCAGTTTTAAGCCATTTTATAACCATGTGATTAACTCCGTATTTTCTTCAGATTTCTGTATTTCCGCATTTTATCAACCAAGTAAATACCTCCATATTTTTTATATATGGAAATGCGGAAATCTGGAGAGAATACGGAAAAAGAGTCCAAATACTCCCATCCATATTTTCTCCATATTTTGAATACGGAGAAAATCTGGAAATTTGAATCTACGGAAATCTGGAATGAATGCGGAAAATTATTCCAAATACTCCCGTCCGCATTTTCTCCTTATTTTGAATATGGAAAATATATGGAGATCTGAGGTGCGGGCATGTATGTACATATAAAGAAATCTTATAATTCCGTGGTCAAAAGGTTCGATGTTCACATTCAAGGACATAATGTATAGGCATGCATTCATGTACAGTCAATTCTCGAATTATCGCCATTCGATTCATTGCCATTTTCGCTATACCGCCATGATTTGCCAAGAACGTTTTTCCTGCTATATAGAATTCTCTTTATAACGCCAAATTCGCATACCACCATCCGCCACCCTGTTTTCACAACAAACGTCCAATTTTAAGTGTCAATTATCTCGATATACCGCCACAGGTGCATGTGGTCAGTGAAGCGCGGCTAATTGGTTGACGCTATCCCTGTTGTAAAGCATGCAAAGCCAGGCAAGGTACATGCAATTAAATAATTAAATAAGAATTAAATAAACAATGATTTTAACATGAACTGTTATGATAATTTTGTTTTCTGTTTAATAAAAATCATTTAGTGACGGCTTTGCCACGAAGGCGGTCGTTGTTTAAGAACACATATAACGATATTATTTTGATTATCTCTGCTTTAAACAATGCAAAATTTGCTTAAAAAATAATTATACGGTATAAATTGTGAACGTTTTATTAACAATGCCTTAAACAATGAATTTATTCAAGAATTCATTTTACATATTATCGGCAATATATCACGACGATAGACCCAGCATTTTTTTTTAATATCAGTCGTGCAGATTTACATGCATCCATATGTGCTTGTCTTTATTTCATAACTGCACATTTTGTTTTAGCGAAATTGTACATAAAAAATTACTTGAAGTATTTTAAAACTTAGAAATATGTTTTAATATGTACATGTACATGTAATAATGAGAATAGAAATGCTAAATTGTATTTCTAAGAACGGTAACTCTACTTCTGGTTTCCTAAACGATGGGAAATTCAATTCATCGCCAAATTCGTTATACCGCCATGATTTCTAAATTACAAAAGGTGGCGGTTTATCGAGAATTAACTGTACAACCTTTTTCAGATTCATCTTGATTATTGGATCAATTTCTTTTCACTATAAGCATAACAACTAAAATACATTCCCTCTTTCTAATGACTTTCAATTTTGAAGCTTCTATAGTGCTGTATAGAAAACAACTCTTTCCTTAAAAATATGTTTAAATTCAGGCCAACGATTGATGCTGCAACTGATGTTAAGGAAATCAGGTCCTCTAGTCTGTAAGCCACCATCAATTATTAACAGCACGTAAAACACACCACTCAATTAATATATATCCCAACAAATATAACTAAGATGGAGTATCCAAGCTGTCAGGGTTACTAGTCCCAAAGGAGTCGTAACAGTAAGGCACCAAGCCAGGAGGTGATAAACTGGTTGTCATTTCTCTCTGAAAGGTACCAGCCATTATCTGGCAATATTACATAATATTAGCTGTCATTGTGTCCCGGAACACTACTGGGATACCATTATAATTTTTTTTTTTACAATTACCTTGGATTGACAATATGGAAACTGTGACAACGTAATCTTTCTGAAAAAACTTGAATTTCATGGATTTGGAAACCAATTTTTCAACTTCAGCCTATCTCACAAAATGTAATAATTTATTCACTATCATGCTGGCATATACAGATATTCAGAAGAAATTACCTAATGCATATAAGCTGTCCCATATGGCAATGGGCACCATTGCATTGTGCCATTTTTGGCAGTATTCGCTTATGGTGCATGCAATAGCCTAGTCTTTTCAGACCTTGTGTAGTTCCTGAATGCAGATATGAAAAATGTAAACTAGAAACATTAGTACCATTGGTGGACCCAGAATGAGTGGGGGAGGGGGGTTAAGTGGTTACAGGGATTAGAAGTAAAATTATTAATTCAAGAATTTTTATGATCCACAGAAAAGTCAAAGTTTTATCGTCATTTGTTGGAAGTTTGATGAAATTACTGGTATATTCAGTTTCTATCAATGAATAAGCTTGACAAAGAAAGGGGAGGGGAGTATACAATTTTTGTCTGAGGTATAGACAAAACATTTCAAGTTTAAGCCTATATGCACAGAACAGAAATGAGTTTTAAAATTATGTTACACTCTATAAAGAATACAAAGCATAAAAATAATGCATATTGCACAAAACCAATTTGTAGGTTACTGACCTGGCAAAATAAGTAAACTACATACACCTGAGGGGAAAAACGGGCATATTATCTATCAATAACAGAAAATTATATGAAAGTTGACCTGATGTCCATTAAGCTGGAAAGCTAGTGTTAATCATCCCATTCTAAACTAATATCATTATATGTCAAAAGCTCAGCATTTTGAAGTGAAAGTTGTGGGTCATTAATGGATGAGATCTTTAGAACAAGGTCTCTTGTCATGGTAGGAGTTGGCAGGATGAAGAACCCTCACTGCTCAATGGTCCTTGCCGAGTGAAGCACTTTAGATGTTTATAGGAGTGTCTCTTTATGAGTGAAAAATTCTTGAATGGGATGTCAACAACATACAATCAATCAATCAAAACTAATATAAATGTGTATGTGACACAACCAATTTAGCAGGTTCAAAGTCTGGACCTGTATCACTTGAATTTCAATGATTATAGTGAATAGGTTAATTATCTTATTCACTAGTATTTCTGCAATATCATGAAGTGCAATATCATTCAAGTAATTACACGAAATATCTTCTTTTTTAGTCTTTTATTTGTGCTTTTTTATTTTAAGTCAATACTCTCTATAAAGGTGATTAAATTGCTTTATCCATATGAGAGAAAAGATGACCATTTAAGATTTCTCCGAAATGTAGGATGTTCACATCCTTACTGGGTGTGCCAAAACTGTTAACAGTTGGAAATACACAAAGACAGTTGCATATAGATATTGCCAAAGAACCTTGCAGTGTTATATAGAAACAGAGAACAGATATGCCATGTGATAGCAAATAACCACAGGTGACAGGTAAAAAGTAACAGCTTTCAAAACCTTAGTCATGATTATTGATTCATTTTGTCCAACACTTAATATTTTTAGTTCAAATTGAGAGTTGATCAAAATCTGAACAGCTGGAATGAATAAAAAAAAAATTTAAAGCTGATTCATCAAATATTTAGACTGTACTCACAACATGAAATCCTGCTCCCAGCATGGGTTACTCCCCTTGACTTGTATGGTGGTTGATTTAACATTCTGTAGTTTTAGGGTCACATAAGTATTGAATCTCTCTGAAATGTAGGAATTTAAAAAAATGTTATACTATGTACATTACATGACATGTGTGTTTTAATTAATACTTTTTAATAATACTTAATTAAAACTATAACTTTTTTAAAAATTGAATTTCTTGCAAACAGATTTTAAATTCATAATTTTACATTGCTATAGTAATATACATCTACATATTTAAATCTGCAGATAATTTGAAGATTATTTTATGCTTGTAACCTAACATTCAGAAATGTTAACATTCTATATAAACAGAGGTGAATTCATTTTTTCCCCTGGTTAAGATTTAAAATATGGAAGTTTTAATTAAGAGATTGGAGTACCACAAAGACCACATAATCAAAAATGCAGACAAGTTGATCCTTGGGTATTGAGAAAAATCAGAAAATTGGTAAATATTATAAATACCCTTAAAAACCCCGATTGCACAAGAGTATTGTATAAGAAAAATATTTTTTAAAAATCAAAAATTAACTTAAAACTATTTTAAAATATATATTATCAAAAAGAATGAAAATCAATGCAAAAGAAATACATTTTATCCTGATTATTATTTCAAGACTATTATAAAACACCTCCACATGACAAGTAAAAACATTTTCAAAAAGATTAATTAGACATCTATACACATTGGATTCTCAGATTTGCTTGCAAAGTTACTTGTCCTAAAACAGAAACAAAAAAATAATTAACAAAGGCCTTTCCTAAATAAAAAGCCAAAATTTTACAATGTTCTAAATATTGCAGATGGCCATTTGATATATGATCTGTGTATAAGGGATATTTCTGGATAATAAACTCCTGCTCTGGAAGATTTCTCATTTTAAGAAAGTATACTATGAAGCAGTGTTGTTTCACATCAACTTTAAAGCTACCCTACATGTCCAGAGTCCAACTGTTTGGCCAAACTTTAATGGGTCGATGGTCTAGTCAAAGAAGCCCAATGGTCTGGCCAAACCCTATGGTTTAACCGGTGACAAGTCAATATAGCAGACAGCAAAGTTTGATGGCCATGCAAAATTCTAATGGTTCATTTCCTCTAAGTATAAGACACACCATGCTGATTGGCACCTTAACAGACTATGGTGTGTCATTCTAGACATCGGCAATTAACTGCAAGTGAACCAACAGGGTTTGGTGTGTCAAACCATTGGAGTTTGGCTTGACTACTAGGATTTTGAGTCCCATTGCACTTTGAAATCTTACATATTGTAACAGTATACATTAATTTCCATACATTTTCTACCAATTAGGGGTATAATGACCCAAATCTAAATATGGTATGCATGTAAAGTGTATTAATAAAGATCTTATAATTTAGTTTTGTTTAAAATGAAATATATCGGCTTTCAATGAACATGTACAAAATCAATGTCCTTTTATGTGCAAATTTGTTAAAATGCTGAATGAATGACAGACTTATGCTAAATACAAATGAGCTTAGAACATCTACTGTCTATCAATTTATATATCATATAGCAGAGTTCCCGAAACTTATTAAAAATATGTCGGACAATTGTCCTGTAAATATTCAAAATTCACCGGACAGTTGTAAAATTTACCGGACATTAATTTTTTTGTATGTAAATTTAACATATTATAGGATTGGAAATTGTGTTGATATAATAAATAATATGTGTAAATCAAAAGTTGGCAAATGCAGGTTTTTTTTTTAGATTTATTGAAATATTTTCTATTAGGCCTGTGTATGCGGGATTTGACGTCGCCGACGGTGTGTGATGACCAACGCTTAATTCATCGTATTAAATTATTATGTCCTTTCTGAGAGATTTTTTACTTTTTTAAATAAAATCTGCAACATGACAACTTTTGGTTGATTGTTTGAAATTAGTGTGAAATATCTGTCGTTTTCCAGGCTTTTTTTTTTAGGATTTTGGTATTTTAATTTATGTGCCAGGAAAAATATTATGTAAAATATCAAAACTGTTTAGCCTGAAAAACGTCTTAAGTAAATTTGTTGTCGTTTTATTACATTAAAGTTAGTCCGCTATTTTTAGCAAAGGGGAAAAACGCGCATGTATTTTAAATGCTATCAAATACATGGGGGAAAAAAATCCAAAAGTTGGTATAATATTAATCATGCTAGTGGATTAAATTATAGAGAAAATAATAAATGGTAACAAGTTGTCTGTAGTCAAGCAGAAATAGCAGGCAACTCTTGCAACCCTGCAAATTCGTCCTGCAAAACGAAAGTGGATTGTCACTTTTTTTACTGTCAGAACTACGGAGGGCACATATATTTATTAAGAGGGAAAAATATTTGTTTGACAGTGTTTTAACTGTTTTTCCTCCGAGACTTATGGAGATTATTATTTTAATATGTAGCTTTTTATAGTAGACATTCACCGTCTACAATTTATTTAAACAAGAATGCAAGAGAATAATCTGACGCGCCCCTGACTTTTTTTTTTTGGTTTCCTTTAGTTTTGCATTTGTTTATTGTCAGGACAATTGAATTAAATGATTTTGTTAAGATTATGTGTAATTGTTATACAGTCAGTAAAAAAAAAATCATCGGACATTTTGACCGATAAAATTAAGATTTTACCGGTCCCATTCAAAGTTTACTGGGGATCCCCGGTGGACCGGTGCGTTTCGGGAACTCTGATATAGTAAAAATAGAAGGTAAGTGATATAGATCAAGGTTTCAAATCTGAAACAAAAAAAATCAAAACTGAATAGGTGCTCTTTTCAAAGGTTTCTTCTTGAATCTACAGAAAAATTCTACACAAGAATATGCAGTCTCAACCTTGCCTGACAGAAATATTACAATTAATCCCCCCCCCCCCCAAAAAAAAATGCCGAAACATATTTACAGACATTTTCACGGCATACTATAAAACCTGGCCTAATCCCTTTGGCCTGGCCTGGCCTGGCCTCTATTTAGGCCTCTAATATGGCTCCAAACCAATTCAATTTTTGGCCTGGCTCAACTTTAAAATCTACACCAAGACAGTGGTAAAAAATAACAAGAAATTATATGAGCTATCAGTGTTGACATTAGAACAACCAGTTCAAATACCATCAAGATCTCAAAGAAAACTATTCATATCCCACTTTTATAAAAAAGACATGATTATTCTATTTACTTAATGAATTAAAATTTCTCCTTTGAATGACTTCAGAAAATATTTAGGGGAAAAAATCCAAGAATGATTGTCTAAAAAACCTACAAAATTCATATACTGTAAATGTATTATATTTAGCGTGTATGATATTTGGTGGGAATTAATTTTTGAACAAGTTAGCGTAGATTTGATTTAGTGCATTTCTCAATGTCCTTATTTATGTGTATGTGTGCAAGACATTTAGCGTTGAACTTGAATTAGCGGATCCGAAGTTTCTCTCCACCAAAAGCGCTTTAAAGAATACACAACCAAATGTAATACATTTAAAGTATTTACATTTCAGGGGCCAAAACTCCTAAATGAGTGCACTAATATTTGCAAAAAGGTCTAAGCCAGATATTGTCATTCTCTTATTTTCATTAGTACCAAATTTTCCCTTCTTTCTATCAATTCTTAAGTTTTATGCCCAAAAAATTGTAACTGTTTCAGTTCATAGAAGATTTATTGCCCCTGTTCAATACTGTAAAGTCTCTGATATATATAGCCTGTAATGTGTTCAGAGAAGGACTTAATTTAGAAAAAGTTAATGATAGCACCAGATGATGAGTCTGACACAGACTATGACGGTCACCAAATGGCCCTCGGGGAAAAGTCAGCTAAAAACCTAATCAATCATTTCTTGGCCCAAAGCCCATCATTTTACGAAATCTCTATGGAATCTGTTCACATTTTTTTTGGCGACACCTTGTAAATAGACAAACAAGCCTGACAAATAGAATAAACTTACCGTACTTCTTTTGTTCATCTTAGCTGATAAAACTAAAAGGTTATGCTAAAGCATGAATGAACTAATATATGCCAATATGTTTTTTTAAATGTGCATGACCTATGAAGACCATCTAACAATTCATATTATTATACTTTCATGTTAAATACTAAAATCTGATTGGTTTAGACGCAGTTAACAATCCGTTCTATTACCCTCAGCCTTAGCAACGCATGTGACAACGGGTAACACAACGGTAATGCCACATGCGTGGATATTATGCGCGTACGGTTCACCGTAGAATTCTCAAAACGTCAGTTGCGCGTTTGAAAGAACTGGAAAAAAGTTGACGTCAATAAAAGCTTGCGTCCGATGTAGTTTACTTGAAAACAACAAACGACAGACGAAACATGCTTGCGAGTGCAGAAATAACGAAACTTTATATGATAAAAGACTCTTAGAGTATCAAACAAACAATAAAAAGGTCAGTAAATCTTTTTAGAAGTAGCGAGGAGTTTGAAGGCTATCTAAACGTGAACGTAAAGATGATCGACGATTTTTTTGCTGACTTAATTTAAGAAGACATTCAGTATAATAAAATAAATGGTGCCTGTTTTGGAGGGTAACAGTTGAAATTGCCACCCCTCGGAAAACCATTGTCAACCTCCGCTGACGCGTCGGTTGACAATGGTTTTCCTTGGGGTGTCAATTTCAACTGTTACCCTCCAAAACAGGCACCATTTATATAATGCTCCCAATTAAAACGATTGATTCAGAATATATATTAAACATCCTGGTTTAAAATCATAACCATGTTTACCTACACCTATCCTCCCTCCCAAATGACTTTTATTCAATGACCTAGAATCAAGATCCCAAGACAATTGATATCGTTTGAAATACAGATATTAATTATTCTTCACATTGTGATTTTCACTAAAAGTACTCTAAGATAAGGACAAACTTTTTAAGCCATGTGGAACAACATACTAAAATGTTCAATAATTTTAATCAAGGATTATAACTTTACACTCATCAACATTTTTTTTCTTATATTATGTAAAATCCTGTACCCAAGAGACCTTCAACTTTGATATGTGACCTTGAATCATCTTTGGGGCTGCAATTTATAACATTCTGAATTTGTTTCAAGAGAAGGTTTTACTGTAAAGAAAAAAATTCTCAATTTAAAAAAAAAGTATTTCAAAAGGAAAACTGGAGACTAAATTCTGACTTGCAGAACATATACTTCTGTGAGCATGATAAGTGCAATAGTACTTTTTGAAAGAAAAATAAATTGTCATTCAAAGCAAGTATTAAGCTCATGGACACGGGATGGGATTGAGATCACATTAACCTGAAATAATAATCAAGATACTTTGACGGAAAGCTAATGCAATAGCAAGAAATATTAAATAGTACACTGTAACAAAATGGAGATTTAATAGCTATTGATGTCAGACGTACTTTTAAGTTAAACATCCGTCTCATTTTGTCTTTTTTTTTTCATCGATTTGAATTTGAATTAGGAATGTTCTATAAACATTGCTGACAATTTTCAATTTATATTGCATACAATATACATTACATGAACATAAAAATCTGGAATGATCAAATTTCTGAATAATTTTGGATATGTTCATATCCATACAGTAGCTATGTGGCAAGGTTTTCAACTTCATATCTGAGTGTAGAATTTAAATTATAGGGAAAAAAATGTGAATATTGAAGTGAAAGTGTTTGTACGATGTGTCCAAAACAAAACTCAGAAGTACTTTTACATCAAATTCCACTTTCCCTCTTCTAGAAAGCAAAAAAAATAGATATGATGAGATTTTAAATGCATGATATTGTGTTTGAAGTAAACCCTTAATCAAATTTAACTAAACTTGGTAAATACACACTGCAAAACAGATCACTATACATGCTTTGCAAGTGAAAGATAAGAAAAATTGCTGATATATAATATCTAAATAATCAAAAGTTCATTAACTAGAATTATCAGTGGTAACTATATATTTATAAAATATATTTTTATAAAAATCTTGCAGTTAAAGCATATCATAAATTGGTCACTTTATAGTCAGAAAAAAGGATGAAAATCAATTTATACTTTTAATTTTCTTTTCAAAAGAAGTCCCATTCAGACAGTTTAAATGCATGTGGACAAGAACAGAGAAAAGGTCCCCATGCTGTCCTATCATAGCATGATCAATGACCTCGAGATGAAAGTTTAATAAAATAATTCTTCTCTTTATCACCTACTGCCAGGAATCTTTTAAAATCAAATATGTGTAGTACTACACAAACTCAGGTAAATAATGAAAGACAAAATTACTCTGGTCTCCCCTCGGTCTTTTCAATTTAAAATCATATTTACATGCCCAAGGTCCATGTCTTATCTGAAACCCAAATATTTTCATTTCTTCTGGGGGATGATTGAAAGAATGAGATTTCCACTGGATGGTTCAGTGAGATCAATATAAAAAAAATGTGTGAAGTCAAATTGGATTTTCATACAAATAAAAACAAACTACATTGTCATATCCTATTCAATCAAAAGTGGGTGTGCATAATACAATAAAGTATGTAGCAGTGTTCGGTGCAGGCATGATTTGTTTTGATTTGTGGTTCAATACTGTTATGTTGTTTCTACTATGAAAGAAAGATACTATCTTCATACTTTAAATGCAGACTGAAAATGTGTTTCATTTTCTTTAAATACCTAGTATCCAGTATTCAAGAAGTATTTGACAGGAAAAACCATATTTTTGGTATAGTCTCATTAATTTACAAATTTAAAAAATGAAATAAAGTTTTTAACATGTTTAAGGTAATCTTTGCTGCAGTGCTCTTGATGACATGAAGCCCTATTCAAAGCACTCCATTTTATCTAAAACCAAGTATTATATTAATTTATTAAACATGATATACTAATTTGAATGTGTTCTGACTTTTTCAATCTAGTGTTTAATTTTTCCATACACTGAGAATGAGATAAATTCTTTTAATGAAGTGAGCTCAATATGCTCAAGGCCGGATAACATGTGATAAGTTTGAAAAGAGTGACTCTTCCATGACAGATAGCCAGTTAGATGGTGACATTTTTTCACATTAATTATTATGTGTTTAATGCATGTGACACAAAATGTATGTTCGAGTATTTTAATTGCTTAATATGTACATTGTGATATACATGTATAACATTAGATCTGGATGCCTTGTAGAGTGAATAAATGTTGTTGCATAACTTGAGGAATCTGAACTATTGCCAGCTGCCTTTTGATTTATCTTTGATAATTTCTGGTCCAGCTGTCTATGTGTATAATTTGTTAACGAAAAATGTGTTCTCTATAAGAGCATTGGCCCCTCCTTAAACCATTGTCATTTACACCACTATCTGGACCATCATAGATATATACATGAAAATTACTAATGTGCAAGATACTTAGGTTCAGTAGTGTGTTAATGTATAACGTATATTTATGTATCTTGTTCTAGGATATTCTTCTACTGCTGCCTTTAATAATTGGATTTTTTTGCTAATGGAGGCAGCATTGATGAACTTATAGTCCTAAAATTATAGTCCTAGTATGAAGAATGTGAGCACGTATATGAAATTTCATGATACAGAAAGAGGTAGAAACTCGATATCAATAACTGATATTGGACAATTATTCTGAGGCTGACTTTATGTATTTTCAATTATCATGATTAACTAAATGACTGTACATGACCTGTCCGTGCAATGACTAACAGACTGACAAGTCATTGATTTCTACATAGAACTCACCAGGGCTTCCAATCAGTCGGGCTTTTTTCACTGAAAAATACGAAAATCAAAAATTAACAGCTGACTTGTGATGAATCATAAACATAAACATGTAAATGGCAGGTGGACATTTAAATATACTAAAAATATCTTCTACATATAGAGCCTTAGGATGAAATATTTCAACACTACAATGCATTTTTTCATCACAATACTCACAATGTAAGAGACTGCGCATGCTAAGCTACCCAATACACTTTTTTATACAGTAAAACACACTTACAGTGAAGTCATGCCATGCATATGGACAGACAATTTTGTTTCATTATTATATCCGTAAAGTTCAAAATATATTTTTTATTTTAAGCCATGTGAAATGAAAATCACTTTGCTGAAGCATCAATTAGTTTAATTCAGCATGTTTTACTGTACATTCCATACCATACAAGTAGTTTTTTTTGGGGGGGGGGGGAGGGTTATTATCACAGACACTTGCTTATAATATTACTGATACAAATAAATCATTCATCAAACTTAATTAGTTCATCTGAGTTTGCCTCAAAAGAGTGTGCGGCAAGGAGGTAATTGTTAATCAATCTTTAATTATTCAATAATAAGTACATACTTCTAATTCTATTAAAATCGTGAATGTGATACCTATTTACGTAAAATTATGAAACATTAACTAATTTCAAAGTATATACTGTACTTTGAAATATCCATATCCAGACAGATAAAGGCCTGAAGCATTCAAACTTCTGAGAATTGTTCAAATTTACCCATTTATCAAACCCTTGATAATCTTATAATGAATAATACACATGGATCGTGTCAAAAAGTAAATCATATGCAGGAAAAAAAGGGAGGTTTAAGAGTGGGTATAATTTGCTAATCTACAAATAGGCCTGATCGAAACATCTGGGATTATTATCACAGACACCTGCTTATGATAATATACAAATAGTTATTAAAATTCATCTGAGTTCACTCCAAAAAGAGTATGTGGTTTTGCAGGTAGTATGCAAATTTTACCCATTTATCAAACCCTAGGTAAATTAATAATGTTTAATATACATGGAAGTGTCAAAAAGCAAATAATTAACATGCAGTTAAAGAAAATGAGGTTTTAAGAGAGGAGAATGGGTATATGGTATACATATATATATGCAAATAGGCTAAGTAGTAAGTAAATATTTTAACACGCTTTCAACTTCTTTGCTGCGATTGAATGCACACTACGAATGAGATACATAATTTTATCTTTAATATATTCTATAAAAGGAAAATTTCAGCTCTAGAAATCAAATAAGGGTGCACCGATTGCTTCAGCAGAAAAATCTCATAACAAAGGTTTTCTGACTTTCACACTATCGCAGTTTTTCCAATAAATTAATCGGTTCTTATATAGTGTCATTCCAAGCAATACCTACCGCAAACACACAATAGTGACATTATAGGGTTTCAATATATCCTTCAAAACAATGTGATATGTTGCACTGTGCACAATTAATTTGAAATAGTCCATCCATTACGAAATGACCCGGGCTCACATCTGTCAAAACAGCACCATCCGCCATATTTGACTCGTGACGTCACGCTTTTTAATCACGCACCTAATAAATATTCAGTACCCTTATATGTATGAAATAAATATATTACAGCGACCTCCCATTTTTTTTTTTTTTTTTTGAAAAACAAAACAAGTGTATTTTTAAGTCAGTGTTCTATCGTATCTCATATTATCTACTCAATAATAAAAAAAAAACAACAAACAAACAAACGAACAAACAACCCCCTCCCTAAAATAACATAAAGAGGATTAAATTTAAGGAAAGACATTTCTATTTAAAAAAAAAATAAATAATAAAACGCACATATTCAATTTAAAATAGATTCTTTAGAAATTTAAATCACGACAAATAGCCTACATCCCCCGATTTTCTATTGACATATGTCGTGATAGATACATGTTTTACATGTATATACCATGAATCAACATCAAATAGTTTAAAGGTCCTTGATTTTGCATCAGCTGCTGACGGACAAAGCGAAAAATCATCCGAGCGTAGAACCAGTATATAATAGGGCTTATATACATACGTCAGGATAGTGCTCAAACCTATCGGATGTCGCACATTCTAAATAACAATTATTGAATTCTTAGTTTGAACAATGTAAATTAATAATCTTAATTTGTAAAGTACACTTTTATATTTTAAAAATGATTCTTTTTTTTTTTTTTACAAATCTATTAAAAGGAATTATTTTTTTAAAGCTATTTATAGATAAATGTTAATTTTTATTTAACTCGAGCTTGCTCCTGGTTTCATAGTAATCATAACAGTACATTTCTTCATTAAGTAAAAATAGTTTTTGATGTTCTATTTATCAGATTTTCGGAATTTACTAAGTGATCAGTGATGGATCTCTTTTCAATCATTGGTTATTTCTTTTATTTGGGGCTGGGTATGATAACAAAAAATTCAAATAAATAATGCGGAGCAAAACAGACGAAAAAAAACCTAGATGTGTTTGTAAAACACTGATGCTATCGTAAAGTAGCTTATGGCGAAGATTCATAGATTGAAGTTTTCCAAATGTATGACATAATCCAAGGTCAAGGCCAAAGGTAAATATTCTTTTTATCAAGAGAAAGGTCTTGCCACGAGGAATACACCTATGAAATATGAAAACTCCAGTACTAACTGTTCAAAAGTTATTACCAATGTTAAAAGATTTTACAAAGTGGGTCAAACTCTTAAGTCAAGGTCATAAGGTCAAATTGATGGTATCAAAAAGGAAGGTCTTGTCACAAAGAATAATCTGTGAAATATGAAAGCCCTATAGTTTTAACTGTTCAATAGTTATGTCAAAGGTTAAATATTTTACCAAGTGGGTCACACTCTAAGGCCAAGGTCAAAAATCTTTACACCATTTGAAAAGTCTTTTCACAAACAATACTCATATGAAATATGAGCCATAGCACCAACTGTTCAAAAGTTATGGCCAAAGGTTAAATTTTGACATTTTTTTAAAGAGGGTCAAACTCAAAGGTTGAGAGGTCAAATTTGTGATACCCAATGAAAGGTCTTGTCACAAGGAATACACCTGTGAAATGTGAAAGCCATAGCCCCACCCAGTCAAAAGTTGTGGGCAATGTTTAAGTTTTTGTGGCAAAACAAACAAAAAGACAGACAGACGGACATACAGTGCTAAAACTAAATACCGGGATAAAAGGGATGGGAGTCGAGCTACATAGATCTGGGGCTATAGATGGAGGCCCCTATGTCTGGAGTGAGTGCAGAGACATGTCACATGACACATTCAGACAGGATAGGCTATAAATAAGATAATGTAGACGGGGAAAAATCTATTTTTGATATTGCTGAAAATAAAATTTTTTTATTAACCAGGAAATCTACCTGAGTAAACAGGATACTCTTTATGAGGTACATGAATGATACATTCGTACATTCAGATATCTTCCTTTATTTCCATATTTGCACAAACTAGCATTGTAATGAAGAGGGTAATAAAAATCTTTGCGGATGTTTACTGAAGATTTGCCATAGATAGATTTATACTTAAATTGTTCACGAACGATGTTAAACTCCGGGGAAAAAATTATATAGTATCAGGAAAAATCCTATCTATAGGTTAACACAAACGTTCAATATAGGAAATATGTCTTTGATTTTAATTAAGTACCCGAATTTCCAGTTTTAACTCTTTGAAAGAGAAAGGAAAGTTTATTTCGCGTAGTGACTTCATTTTTGTTGCTTCTATTGCTAGGAATATGCTGTTCCCATAAGAGCATCATTAGCTTTCCTGTCATAAAATTATCAGTTTTTCTATTATAGAAAGGCTTTTTTTGGTCCTTGGTTTTTGTCCCCCAATTTTCTTACACATTTATAGAAGAGAAAATTACATTTCGAAGTAAATGGAAATGATTAAGTTTTAGCCAATGATTCTAGAGAATATCAAACATTTTCCCGCAGGGGATTCCCAATTGAATTTTGACTTTTCTGTGACAAAAATGAGACTAAAGAAGTTAATGGCCTTCTATATCATTGAACTCTATGCTCTTTTAGAAGTTCTCACATATTGGGAAGCCAGACATTACGAGATACACGAGTGATTTATTCCACTTTTTCTTGAGTATATGAAATGAGGTTGACAGAAAATTCTCAGCACTAAAGGCAACAAAATTGGTTAATTTATGAAGAATTAGCAGGAACTGTGCGGGAGTTATGATAACTGCGAAAACCAAGACTGCATTCAATCGAGGCAAAGACGGTAGTATTGCCAATAGGTCGAAAACACGACCAAATGTTGCCAACATCGAAACGAACGGAAATGAAACAAACAATTTTCACAGACTATATTCACGAATCAATAATACCTTAACAGGTATGGCAGGCCCGCAGGAAGAAAGGCAACCGGAAGGGGGAGGGGGAGGCACATCCAAACAAATTCAGTTTGAGTTGGTACTACTGAGCAAAATTTCCAAACAAAGGATGGGGCATCTGACACAGTCATTGAGGGTAAGGGGTTACTGAGTAATTATATCAGTAAAGCAGCCATGTTTTCTATAGTATTCTGAGTACTCGTGTATGTGTAAGACTTTTTCCAAGGCAATTATAATATCATTGCGTATATGATAAAACGTATAAAAAATATGAAGAAATTACAAGAAAACTGAAAATTTGACTTTTCCACTAAGGTATCTCTAAGGGTTAGGAGTTCTGGATGTGTAATATAACACCATTTCCGTATCCGGGCCCCACACAAAATTACTGCAATTATGCCACATCTATTTTCTATAAGAGGATATCAAAAAATCGTCGACTGCAGGCTGGCGCCATAAAATTCAAACTGCTTAAGGTTCATTAATAAATTTTTACGTATCTTTTCAACATTATTTTTTTTGTCCACAGAATAAACTTCAAGACATACGGTTTGTCTTTGAATGAATTGCCATTATTTCCGTAAGCAATAATATATGTATGGCCACGCGGTGCAATAGTAAATTATATCTCTGTACTGTGAGTCAAAAAGAGATAAAAATCTTTAATTTTGATAATTATGGAAAATTTTCATAAAGTATTGAATTTAATTCATGCGTCTGATGTGACATTATTGTTCTGTAAGGTGCACACTTTATACCTCATTTTCTCAGTTTATGAGACTATATTGTGAATTCAAATAGAGAGTGTTGAGTACTAAAAAAATTAATTTAATTTAACTAAAAATGACAAGAAGAAGAGTGCTGGTTTTTCTTTTTGCCGCTGTTTATATCTCCATTAAAAAAAAAAACATTAACTTTGAAAATTATTAAATATTTAACAGGCAAGAGAGAAGCTAATGGAGGATATGGAGATAACGAACAGTATTCAATATCAAAGTCCATAAAACAATACAAAATAGGAGCAGAGCAAACACGGACCTCCAAAACATCAGAGGTGGGATCAGGTGCCATGGAGGAGTGAGCATCCCCTGCTGACCGGTCACACCCGCCGTGTGCTCCTTGTCATGATCGGAAAATAACGGAAAGATCCGTCTTCAATGCAGTGTATAAATAATGGACTAACAATTAGTATGAAAAACGTCAGCCAGATTTGACTCAATGATAAATTGTATTTGCTGACAAGGTCATGATATCGACCATAGAACTTACGAAATGATGACTTTAAACAAGACTGCTGATAGTCTTGTTTCATCAACTTGTTTGTCAATAATTTATCTCGTTTTAGAAATTGTTCATACGTAGAGCATGCTCTAGCGTATCGAATCAACTGAGATATGTAAACTCTGTATGCAGGTGATGATATCAGTGTATCAGTGGTATATCAGTGGCGATAGAAATTTCTAAAGTCGCAGTAGAAGTCAGGGGCGGTTGTTAGATTACCATTAGCCCTTTTTTAAGGCAAATATCCTTTATGAAACAGATGTGTCAGCCCCTGTGGCTACAAGTTTTTACAAAATAAGAGATATTTTTTCCTTGATTTTAAATAGCCATTGTTACATGTAAATTTTACATACAAAATTTCAAATGGGGGGTTGGGAGTCCGGCGCCGGCCCTGGATCCGCCTTTGTATATTGCTGCATATGTAAGGGAACTTGACGATAGAAAAGTTTAAGTCATCACGATTATCATAGAGCCTGGTTGTTAGATTAACATTAGTGTCATTTTCAAGTAAAATATCCAAGTATATGAAACAGATTTGTCACACTCTGTGGTATCTTTTATCTCAAGTTCACCAGGATATATCGTATCAACAAAGGACACAGGATGTTTGTTGTTTTTTTTTTTATTAAAATCAATTTTATTTCATAAAAAATTAAAATCAAACACTGTTATAAAAATACACGTGTATTTTTATATGTTTTTTACATTATCGAAGTAAAGCCTTGAAAGCCATTTGCTTGACATATTAAATTACCATTGTTAATTGACAATACGTCGTCGATATAATTGTCGCATATCTGCGGTGATTTTCTTTGATCTTTCTGTGGTGATATATCCCATACCACATATGCAATAATACTTTCCACGCCCCTTCATATATCACTGCAGGAGGAA